GGGGGTGGAAGGGAGCTGGAATATTCCGCTGAAACTGAGGCCACAGGAAGCCAGGATATGGGGGCTGAGCTGGGTAAGTGGAATCACACCAGTGTTTGGTTTTCAGTCCACACTCGCCGTCTCCCTTGTGCTTTGGCTTTGGCATAGCAGGGAGTGAGCAGGACTCGGGAGACAGGCAGGAGCCTTTGAGTCCTGGCTGTGCCCCCACCTCAGTACCTGAACCTTGAATAAGGTTTCTGAGTCTTGGTATACTCGCTTCCTGGGGCGGCCATAACAAAGCCCTGCAACCTGGGTGGCTTCAACATCACAGATGTGTTGTCCCATTGTCCCGGGGAAGCTGGAAGTCCAAGGTCAAGGTGTGGGCAGGACTTGTTGCCTCCTGAGAGCAGTGAGGCAGGATCTGCTCCAGACCTCTCTCCTGGCTGCTGGTGGTTTGCTGGTGACCTCTGACCTTTCTTGTCTGGAGACACACCACCCCATCCTCAGCCTTCATGCTCACGTGGTGTTCTTCCCAAGCCCAGATCTCTCAGGGTCCAAACTTCCCCTTTGAAGAAGAACACTATTTGAGCTATTTCAAATCCTAAAAGACAATGCTGTTAAAGTGCTGCACTCAATATACCAGCAAATTTGGAAAATTCAGCAGTAGCCACAGGATTGGAAAAGGTCAGTTTTCATTCTAACCCCAAAGAAAGGCAATGCCAAAGAATGTTCAAACTACCACACAATTACACTCATCTCACATGCTAGCAAAGTAATGCTTAAAATTCTCCAAGCCAGGCTTCAACAGTATGTGAACCGTGAACTTCCAGATGTTCAAGCTGGATTTAGAAAAGGCAGAGGAACCAGAGATCAAATTGCCAACATCTGTTGGATCATTAAAAAAGCAAGAGAGTCCCAGAAAAACATCTACTTCTGCTTTATTAACTCAAACTGTGGGAAATTCTTAAAGAGATGGGAATACCAGATCACCTGATCTGCCTCCCGAGAAACCTGTATGCATGTCAAGAAGCAACAGTTAGAACTGGACATGGAACAACAGACTTGGATATTTTCACCCTGCTTATTAAACTTCTATGCATAGTGAAATGCTGGGCTGAATGAAGCACAAGCTGGAATCAAGATTGCCAAGAGAAATATCAATAACCTCAGATACACAGATGACACCACCCTTATAGCAGAAAGCGGAGAAGAAGTAAAGAGCCTCTTGATAAAAGTGAAAGAGAAGAGTGAAAAAATTGGCTTAAAACTCAATATTCAGAAAACTAAGATCATGGCATCTGGTCCCATCATTTCATGACAAATAGATGTGGAAACAGTGGAAACAGTGACAGACTTTATTTTCTTGGGCTTCAAAATCACTGCAGATGATGACTGCAGCTGTGAAATTAAAAGAGGCTTACTCCTTGGAAGAAAAGCTATGACCAACCTAGATAGCATATTAAAAAGCAGAGACATTACTTTGCCAACAAAGATCAGATTAGTCAAAGCTATGGTTTTTCCAGTAGTCATGTATGGATGTGAGAGTTGGACTATAAAGAGAACTGAGCGCCAAAGAATTGATGTTTTCAACTGTGGTGTTGGAGAAGACTCTTGAGAGTTCCTTGGACTGCAAGGCAATCAAACCAGTCAATCCTAAAGAAAATTAGTCCTGAATATTCACTGGAAGGACTGATGCTGAAGCTGAAGCTCCAATACTTTGGCCACCTGATATGAAAAACTGACTCACTGGAAAAGACCCTGATGCTGGGAAAGATTGAAGGCGGGAGGGGAAGGGGACGACAGAGGATGAGATGGTTGCATGGCATCACCAACTCAATGGACATGAGTTTGAGCAAACTCCAGGAGACAGTGAAGCCTGGCATGCTGCAGTCCATGAGCTCACAAAGAGTCTGACACGACAGAGCAACTGAACTGACTGACTAAAGAAGGACACAGCCCATATACACAATGGAATATTACTCAGCCATGAAAAGGAATGGATTTGAGTCAGTTGTAGTGATGTGGATGAACCTAGAACCTGATATACAGAGTGAATTGAGTCAGAAAGAGAAAAACGAGTATCATATATATGCATATGTATGGGATTAAGAAAAATGGTACTGATAAGCTATTTGCAGGGCAGGAATAGAGACAGACATAGAGAACAGACTTGTGGACACAGTGGGGGAAGGAGAGGGTGGGATGAATTGAGTGAGTAGCATGGAAACATATACACTACCGTGTGTAAAATAGATAGCCAGTGGGACTTTGCTGATGATACAGGGAGCTCAAGTCAGGTGCCTCATGACAAGCTAGAGGGGAGGGAGGGAGGTTCAAGAGGGGAGGGACATATGTATACTCATGGGCGGTTCATGAATACCTGTGGCTGGTTCATGCTGATGTATGGCAGAAACCAACACAATATTGTAAAGCAAGTATTACAATTAAAAACAAATAAATTTTAAAAAAAGAAGGACACAGTCATACTGGGTTAGGGCCACCCTGATGACCTCATCTTAACTTGACTATCTCTGTAAAGATCCTATCTCTAAATAAGGTTACATTCTGAGGTCCTAGGGTTTGTGTGTGTGCATGCGAGTTAAATCGCTCAGTCATGTTTGACTTTTTGCAACCCTATGGACCGTAGACTGCCAGGCTCCTCTGTCCATGCGATTCTCCAGGCAAGAATACTAGAAGGGATTGCCATGCCCTCCTAAAGGGATTTTCCCCACCTAGGGAACAAACCTGTGTCTCTTACATCTACTGCATTGGCAGACAAGTTCTTTACCACTAGCACCACTTAAGAAACTCCCTAGAGGTTGGGTCATTAACATATGGATTCGGGGGGAACACGATTGAACTCCTAACATCTCGCCTGTAAATGGGGATCATAGTATAATTGTCGTGGTTGCAAAGTGCCTCAAGGAGGTGTGGTCCGCAGTGGGGCAGGGGAATGTCTGCCTGGTCTGAATGGGCATGTGCCTCTGTGTTGCCTGGATGGGATCGAGCCCCAGGGAGCAGGGCCCAGGTCAAGACTCACCCTGTGAGTGTCCAACACAAGTCAGCAGAACCTTGACCAGGGAGGGCCGATGATGGTGAGGACAAAAGGCTGGAGAGAAAAAATTGATGGCAGATGCATCAGGGCTCTACAAAGTCTGAGAGTGGACTTCCCTGGGGGCCCAGCGGCTAAGACTCTGTGCTCCCAGTACAGGGGATGCAGGTTCCATCCCTGGTCAGGGAACTAGAGCCCGCATATGACAACTAAAGAACCCGAGTGCCACCACTAAGACCTGGGCAGCCAAATAAATTAAAAAGGAAAAGTCTGATACCAAGTGCTGACCAGGAAGTGGAGCCAAGGAACCCCGTCTGCTACTGATGGAGTGCCGGCTGCTACAAACACTTTGGAGGGTAATTTGGCATCATGGCGAAAGAGACAAGATGTATATCTGATGCCCCAGCAGTCCCACTCCTAGGAATGCTTACAGGAATGCTTACCCCAAGAGACAGGTGCAAGAAATGTTCACAGCATCTTTGTTTGTAAAAATGAAAAATAACCTAAATTTCCTAAATGTGATGTATTCACTAGAGAAATACTATACAGTAATTAAAGCAAATTAACTAGAGCTACACATAGCCCACAGGTGAATCTCACCAATAAAATAATGAGCAAGAAAGAGCAAATTGGGACTTCCCCAGCCATCCAGTGGCTAAGACTCCGAGCTACCAATGCAAAGGGTGTGGGTTCAATCCCAATGGGGGAATGAAGATCCCACATGCCTAAAAAAAATTTTAAAAAAACACAAATTGCAGAAGGATGTCTACAATGGGTCAGGCAATATGAAATGACACTGCTTAGGATACACATATACATATGTGCTTGAAGAGAGGAAGGAGAAGCCCCAGATGCCAGACCAAATGTTATCTGGGGAGGAAGGGCACCCAGGGAGCTTCATGTATGTTTGTAGCAGGTTTTTTTTTCTTTTTTTTTAATGAGATGGGAGTAAAGGGTATTGTTTATTCCTTATAAATTTCTGCATGTTTGAATTATAACTGTTTAAAAAAGAGCTGGGGGACTTCCCTGGTGGTACAGTGGTTAAGAATCTGCCTTGCAATGCAGAAGGCTTCCCAGGTGGCACATCAATAAAGAATCCACCTGCCAGTACAGAAGACTCGAGTTTGATCCCTGCGTCGGGAAGATCCCTTGGAGGAGGAAATGGCAACCCACTCTAGTATTCTTACCTGGAGAATCCCATGGACAGAGGAGCCTGGGGAGGGCGGGTTACAGTCCATTGGGTCACAAAGAGCCAGACACCATGGAGCACCAATGCTCTCTCTCTCTTGCAATGTGTGTGGGGGCGGGGGGTGCGGATTTGATCCCTGGTAGGGGAACTAAGATCCCACATGCCACAGAGCAACTAAGCCTGCTGGCTGCAACTACTGAAAGCCTCACTCCATTACTAGAGAGTCCATGCGCCACAATGAAAGATCCCACACGACACAGCCAAGTTCATGTATGCTGCAACTAAGACCCAACACAGCCAAAAAAAAAAAAGAAGAGCCAAGACTCATTGAGCCTCACACAAAGGGGAAGGGGAAGCTGGGGCCCTACTTGTAGGAAGATTCAGAGTTGCTCTTGCCCACCCTGGAACCCAGGACCCAGAGTAAAGGAGCAAAGGATGCTAAAAGGTTGAGACCCAGAAGGCAAGAGGCTCCCTGTTGAGACAAATGTGATGCTGGACCTCCCCGTTCCAAACTTGCACCCCAGGTGTTGGCCTGAACCCCACCCTGGGGCTGCAGAGAACCCCAGGTGGAGGGCACGGCCGGGAAACCCAGGAGACACATGCCCAGGGTATTTGTCCTGCCAGTGTCCCCCGCACACTGGCACATGTTGCCTTTCCAACCACCTGGCATAGATACCCTGACAGTTTACAGCACAGATACACCCCCTCAGCCACACACGCGCGCACGCACACACACACGCACACACACTCCTCCACCGCCCACTCCGGCCAGGACCCCAGAGCTGGAGATGCTGCAGAACCTGCCAGCTGCAGCCCTGCCAACCGCCGCCCCCCCCGCCCGCCTCCTCCTGGGCTGGGTTTTTCCAGCCAGAGCCCCGCTCCCTCTACTGCAAGCTCTGGAAATTGATGTCTGACGCGGCTGCTCCTGCACGTTATTTATTTATTTCCTCTCCTCTTCCCGCCGAGACGACCCTCCGGTCAGGAGAGCCGCAGCCAGGACGCGGCAGGGGCTGCGGAGGCAGGGAGCAGGCAGGGAGAACAGAGGGCAGGACCACTCAGGAGCCCCCGGCCCGCCCCAAGGGGGCCATGAGCATCAGGCCGGAGGCCCCGCGGGAGGAGGGCGACGCCGGGGACAGGGGCCGGGAGGCAGAGCTTCGGGGCCGAGCCCGGCTGAGCCAGCAGCGCCGGCTCAGACAGGCCACCCAGTTCCTGCACAAGGACTCGGCCGACCTGCTGCCCCTGGACGGCCTCAAGAGGCTCGGCACCTCCAAGGACTGGGTGAGGCCACCCTCTCCCCTCCCCTCCCCGGGGCGGCTGGGACCCCCTGCTTCTCTGGCTCTGCTGGGAGGGTGCAGACCCCAAGCCTCCAGACACCTGCTTGCCCCCAGGGTAGGGGGAGGCAGCCCTGACTTGTGGGTTCACCTTGACCATTCCCGGCTCCTCACCGGGTTGTTGCCATGGGTTGGTGGCTCTGGAGGACCCTATCTATTGCTCGGCTTCCCTAGAGAGCTCCAGGCTTCCCTCCGGGGAGGTGAAGAGTGCTGGTTAGAGCAGAGGCTTGCAAGGGGCAGTTTATTGCTGGGCCTGGAGGACCAGTGTGTTCAAGGCTGTGATTTGCTCCTCTCCTGAAACCAGAGGACCTGGCACACGGGGACTGGACATTCATTGCCCGTCCCCCTCACCCCTGCTAGAACACCCACGGCTCTGGCCTGGGTACTCAGCTCCTCAGGACCCCCCAGCTCCTCCTAGTTGATGTGTCCTTCCAGGCTCCTTTCTTTCCATCCCCCTGCAGCAGCTGTGCCCCCCCACCAAGGATACCGGGTCAGGGAGTGCCCACCAATGGGTGGGTGAGTTAGGGGACAACTTCATACACGCACCACCTCCAACAGAGGGAGGGGCTAAAAGTGTGGGCTTCTGCAGAGCCTAGAATCTTGGGTTCAGATCCTGGCTCCAGCACTTAGCAACTTGGGCAAGTTACTTTCTGTCTCTGAGCCTTGGTTTCTTCATTTGTTACATGAAGATAAAAATAACAGGTTGTAGCTCATAGGGAATGTCAGGATTACATCAGCTAAACCTGTAAAGGGCTTAGCAGAGTGCCTGAGAAATAGGGAGCATCATCTAAAGGCTGTTATTCCTCCAGCTACTCTTCTGTTTTTAATGTTTCTTTTGGTTGCGCCGGGTCTTAGTTGTGGCATGCAAACTCTTAGGTGCAGCAGGTGGGATCTAGGTCCCCAACCAGGGGCTGAATGCCCCCCTGCATTGGGAGCACAGAGTCTTAGGTGCTGGACTCCCAGGGAAGTCCCTTCTCCAGTTACTCTTACTCCTCCATTTAGCCTGAGAGAAAGTGAGGTTCACGGGGTCCAGAGAAGGTGAGATGGCTCTGGCCTCTGGCTCAGACGAGAGGAGAGCTTCTGTAGAAAGGCTGGGGGCACCCTGTCGCCTCTCTCACCTCGCAGGCAGAGGGATGGAGAGGAGGGAGGCATGTGAGGCCATTTCTGGGGGACCTCGGGCCACTCCAGCTGTCCCCTCTCCCCAGAAACCTGGACCCAGACGCAGCCCCTCACTTCTTTTCCTGAACTAGCCCTCCCTCTCCACTCCCTCCCAGCCAATTGTTCTTCCTCCAGGAAGCCGGCCCAACGGCACCCCCACTCAAGGGAAAAGTGAGCAGACTGAGATTTCAGTTCAGAGAACGGCCTTGCTAGCAGCGGGCACAGCTGAGACCCCAAGGGAGCAGGGAAGAAGGTTCTCGGCTCTCATCAGCCCACCTTCATCGGTTCGGCCCTGGCAAAGTGGCTCTAGTAACACTGCTGTTCCAGCATAGCAGATCAGGCCTTCTGCCCTCAGGACCTCTCGAATCAATCTGGAGCAGCTATCTTGTGTGGTTTGGGGAGTGAAGATACAGCAGTTAGGGGGACCCTGTCTCCCTCCCTGGGTGACTCTGGAGCACGATGCATGGGAGTCGGAACAGAGCCTGCGCCCCTTGTGGGAAAGGTGGGCGGGCCGCCCTCCCCAGCCACTCCCAGCGCTAGCCGCCCCTTTTCCCAGAGCTGGGCCTTCTGCTGGCAGTCTGCCGGCAGGACCAGCCTCAAGGGCCTCATTAAGACCAGGGTAGGAAAACAGTCCCAGGCTCCCATGGAAGGAGGGCAGGTGAGGAATCATGTGTGGAGCCTGGAGGGACACAGTCATTCTTCAGTGGGCATCTATTGAGTGCCTACTGTATGCCGAGCCCAGCCCTGTGATATAAAGAGGAGTGAGATACAGACCTGACCTCAAGGGCAGAAAACAGCAGTGAGAGGCATGACAGGGAGGGGGCGGGGGATGAGAGATGGAACACTGCCCCGCCTGGTGTGTGGACGGAAGAACGCAAAGAGGTCAGAGAGGGCTTCCTGGAGGAGGTGAACCCTGCCTGGATGACAGTATGCTCTCAGAACCCCAGACTGAAAATCAAAGCCTCACTCCAGAGAGCAGTTTCTGAACAAGTGAGTTGAGCCAGGCTGGCCTAGAGAAGGGTGAGGACTTTCAGGAGGAGGGATGAGCAGGGGCAGAGGCCTGGACAGCCTGGCCCAGGCATGGCAGCGGAGGGAGATGAGGCAGTGGCCAGCTCACCAGGCTGTTACCTCCAGGCAAGCAAAGTGGGAAGAGGAAAGCTCTGATGGATTTCTTTTTTAATATTTTTTAAAAATATTTATTTATTTGATTGTGCCAGCTCTTCATTGTGGCACATGGACAATTAGCTGTGGCACGTGGACTCTAGTTCCCTGACCAAGTATCAGACCCTGGTCTCCTGCACTGGGAGCGCAGAGTCTTACCCACTGGACCACCAGGGAGGTCCCTCTGATGGATTTCAAGCAAGGGAGAGACATGTTTGGTCTGACGGGTTGCTTTGCGCTTCTCAAACTTTCCTGTGCCTGTGGGTCATTTGCACGTCTTGGTAAAACAAGGTTCACATAGCTTATTTGCACATCTTGTTAAAACAAGGTTCTGATTCAGTAGGTCATGATTCTGTGTTTCTGATGGGTGACAGTAAAGCCGCTGACCTGAGGAGGGCACTTGGAGTAGCACAGTCTCAGAGACTCCCTGGCTTTGAGCAGGTGGATTTGAGAGGCAGGTTCTTACGGACTAACAGAGGCGTCCCAGGGATTTGGGAGAGCTGTGCTGAATGAATCAGTAAAAGAAGGCAAGTTGGGCTGTAAACACAGGAGGCGAAACTGGTGGAACCGAGAAGTGGCTGGACGGGGCGGAGTGGCTGTGGGTGAAGGACGGGAGGATGGCTCCCAGCTTCCTAGTGAAGAACATTGGGACTTCCCTTTCTTTTTTGTTCTTGTTTCTTTGACTTCTTTTCATCACACTGTCAACCCTGGGATCTGCATCTCATGGAAGAATGAGGTCAGAGGAAGGAAAAAAGAAAAGATGTCCCCAAATATGTGTTGTAGATAGGAGATAGAATTGCCACCTGCCTCCCAGCATCCCACCAGTGCCTGCAAGGTCATGTCTAACTCAGGATGGACCCCCCTCCCCCCATCTCTCCATCACTGAGCTATCCATTGGGGTCCTGGAAACCAACGTGATTTGATGCTGGGGCTTGCTCTGCTATCATGATCTCACTGCTGGGACCCTTGGGGAAGCTTCTGCCCCTTCTTACTCTCTGAAGACTTGGGCCGGGGGTGGGGCTGGGCAGGAGAGCCTGGGACTTGTGAGCTCGGGGACCAAGCAGACCGGGCCCCGGGGTTCAGCATCTCCACATTTTGTGATGGAGCAGCAGCCACACAGCGTGATCCAGAGACGCCTGGTGGTGGAGGGGAGCCCGGGCCGGCCTCAGGGGGAGCCTCCCCGGGCGCAGGCCCCGATTCACAGCCAGGAGAGCAGGACGATGACCAGCAAGCCCGAGAAGCCAGCGCTTCTGGTCAATTGCAAGGTGAGACCCTCTTCTGGGCCCAGCTGCCCTCACCCACCCTCCCTTCTGCCCCGGAGGTGAGGAGGGATGGGGAGCCAAGGCACTCCTCCCCGAGCCTAGGCCTAGAACTGGGGTCCTCCACCTTCTTTGCTCCCTGCCTCCCCGTCTGCTGAGGTCCACAGGACTCCTTTCCCGTGAGCCAGGCATCCTCTTTAAACCTGAGTGTGCTCTGCACACGAATGGCGCACACGAGTGGGTAACGCAGCCCTCCTGGGAAAGCTCACGCTCCACGCCACAGCCTGGTCATCTCTGAGCCCTCCCTGACACAGGCCCGCTCCCTCCTGCCCGTCTCTGCTGGGACCTCCTCTGCCTACTCGCTGGTGTCATCCCATGCCCTTCCAGCCCCAGCTGTCACCTCCTCCAGGAACGCTCCCCTAACTTTCCCAATGGAAGGGCCTTTCATCTGGCTCAACATCTAAGGCTCTAGCCCCTCAACCCACAGAGTTTGACACTCTCTCCCACAACGGGTGACCTTCTACCCCCCACTGCCACGGGGGGAGCAGCCTCCCCTGTCCCCGCTCCCACCTGCCACGCACAGCAGACCTCAGCAAACACGTACAAGGAGGAAATGACTTGTTTTGTGGTATCAAGTGCAAACTCAAACGTCTGTTTTTATCCAAAAGAAAGCGACCTCATCCTTCTTCACCTGCAGTGGCGAGTCTGGTACCGGCGTCTCGTTTCCTAATTGGTGCCGCGCTCCCCACCCCTCTCACTCACACCCCAGATCCCTCTAACAGGAGGCGCTCAGCTCTCCTCTCAGCAAAAGGACTTCCGCTCAGTTCCTCCACCTCTGATGGCATTCTCCCCAAACGTATGCACTCACCACTCACCACTCTTGATCTGATCCACTTCTGTCTCAGCTGTATGACTCCCAGAAGAATCACTCTTAAAGACTCAGTTTACTCCCTTCACTCATTTCTGAAAGGGACTTATCAGGGGCTGGGAAAGATGACAGAGTCAGTCCCAGTCCATTCCCCCTTGCCCCTGCGCCCCCCCATCCCCCACCCCCAGGGACTCACGGAGACCCTCCCCTTTTCTCAGTGCCGGGACCAGGAGCTTCAGGTGGCGGTGGACACGGGCACCCAGTACAATCAGATCTCTGCGGGATGCCTCAGCCGCCTCGGGTAAGGTGGTGTGTGTGTGTGTGTGTGTGTGTGTGTGTGTGTGTGTGTGTGTGTAAACCAGTGGGGGAGGGGCTTCTTTTCGGGGTGATGGAAATATTCTGAAATTAGGTAGTGATGGTTGCAGAACTCTGCTGTCTACTTTAAAAGGGTGACCTTCAGCAGTTCCCTGGTGGTCTAGGGGTTAGGACCCTGGGCTTTCACTGCTGCGACCCAGGTTCAATCCCTAGTTGAGGAACTGACATCCCACAAGCTGCATGGCTTGGTCACACAAAAAAGTGACTTTCACTATATATATGAACTATATCTCAATAAAGCTATTATTTTATTGATTTTTTAAAAATGTGTATCAACCTCTACTAATTTTATTATTATTTTATTTCTGGCCACTGTATGCAGCATGTGGGATTTTAGTACCCTGATCGAACCTGAGCTCCCTGTCATGGAAGCTCGGAGTCTTAACCACAGGACTACCAGGGAAGTCCCAATAAAACTGTTTTCTTCTTTTTTTTTTAAAAGAGTTGGTGGGGGCTCTGGCTGATAAGACTGGATTTAGACCCTACGTGGGGCCAGGGATGAGCTGCAAACCCAAAATGTGGTGGGAGGGACATTAATGGTGTGGGGGTGGGGGGCCGTGGTGGCCATAACCCTTGCTTCCCAACTGCAGGTTAGGGAAGAGGGTCCTAAAAGCCCCAGGTGGGGACCTGCACCCGGGGCGCCCAGCCCTGGTGGAGCAGCTGGAGCTACAGCTGGGCCAGGAGACCGTGGAGTGCTCGGCTCAGGTGGTAGGTAAGTCCTCGCTCCGTCAGAGCCCAGCGTCCGTCTCAGCAATTCTATCTCTCCCTCCTGGGTGGGGCAAAGGTAGAGCCTCTCAGCTCCGGCCAACACAGATGAGGCACCCCAGCCCCCAAGATGCTCCCATTATCTCCCAGGTTCTCGGGCCTAGGCGGGGGTGGGCAGAGAAGGGCAAGAGCTGACAGGAGGACAGCGATGTCCTCAAATGGTTCCCGCAGATGTGGAGAGTCCTGAACTCTGCCTTGGCCTGCAGACCCTGCTCTCTCTCCAGGTAAGGCGATGCTCACACTGGTACCACACCCTGGCCTGAACCGGGGCCCAGGAAAAAGAGGTAGGGGGCATGGGTGGGGACGCGTGGGCCAGGCTCCATCACATAAGAAGGGAGTTGGGGACGTGGAATTTTACCCTCAATTCCTTAGAGGTTCCTTATCTGCCTACAACTGAAGAACATGGAGAACTTGGTCCCTTCTCGACAGCAGTCTGGGTGCATGAAAATGGGGAGACGCAAGGAGTAGGGCGCAGTGGGAAGGAAGGGGGTCACCTGCCCAGGTGAGCTCACTGCCCCCACCCACAGTGCTGCATCGACCTGGAGCATCACGTGCTGCGGCTGAAAGCCCCGTTCTCAGAGTTGCCCTTCCTGCCTTTGTACCAAGAGCCCGGCCAGTGACGATGGCAGCCCCGGATGGTCCCCAGGGGAAAACTCCCTGCCTCAGGAGGCGAAGCCCGGGGGATGGGGCATGACTAGAGCTGGGTAGCTGGGGACTGTCCCACCTGTCACCACCCTGACCCCGCCATCCCGTCTCCCTGGCTGGCGGCCACGCTCCTCTGCTTCTTAGCACCTGCCCTGCCCCCCAAGAAAAGCGTTTCCTAGAAAGGGCCCAAGACCTCAGGGTTCTGGTTTCCCTGTCCTCCCTTATCCCCTCCCAAGAACAGAGCCACATCAGGACTGCAGAAAAGGACATCAGCAAAGCGGGGCTCCAGGCTGGGCCCTGGCACGGCCAGGGTGCCCCGAGTTCGGGGCTGCAAACTGCTGCCTATCCCTGCCTGCCCTGTCCACCCTGAACACCCCCGAGGCCTTGACTCCACATTGCTCACCTCACAACTAGCCTGCCCCCTCACCGGCCCTGGGCCCTGGCCCTGCTGGCCCACGTTTCTGACTTTGTGCTCGGCTGAGCAAGAGAGAAACCGTCGTCATGACGGGGACGTGTCGGGAGAGAAGTGCCCAGTCCACGAGGCTGTGGGCTCTTTCATCAGTTGCCTTTTCTGGGGCTACAAACAACTGAAGCCGGTTACTGTTTTGATTGCCCCGTGCACACCCTGGATATACCTCTATGACTTACTCCAAACACTTGCCCTCCACCTGCTTCCTCACCTGCTGGGCCCCTGAACTTTGGGTGGGGGGCATGTGGAGAACTGCCCCCCAAGCCAGACGGGAGGGTGGGATTGTCAGCACTGACTTTACCTGGCCAGTATTCCTTACTTCCAGAACTATCCACCTCATTCTTCTTCCCGCCCCTCACCTCTGGCCTCCTGAGCTTGAGCTCATCTTCTCTGGCACCGGTAGCTCTTCCCAACCCTCACCCCACCCCAGCCCTGAGTCCAGTAAAGACCCAAGGAGGCTCTGCTACCTTCACTGTGAACAGAGGATCCCAAACCTTAAAGTCCAGGCGCCTGGTGTTCTTCTGGCAGGTCTGAGTCTCAAATTTGGGGGAAGAGTTAAACAGTGGTATAGGTAACCTAACCAGGGGACTATGCCCCTTGGGTTGGAAACAAAACCTGGAGCCCAGACTAAGTTAGACCAGAGCAGGCCCAGGAAAGGCCGTGCCCCCTGGGCATACCTTCCTCAGCTATGTCCCCGGCACCCAGAGGAGGGGCTCCCTGGCACAGGTGCAGGACTGTGGTGGCCCCTGCTGTCACCCTCCATGATCCCTGCGCTCCTGGGTCTCACCCTGTTGCTCTCCCTTCCACCTATTGCTTCTGCCATTGCAGACCCCAGGCCCAAGAATGCCCTCAGCTCAGCAGCGACTTTGTTGGAATAAACACCTGTTTCTCTAAGCTGGTGTCCTTCTCTGCTTCTAGGACACTTCATGATTGCCCTGCCCTTACTCCCACACAGAAGGAAATATGAGCGTGGACCTTCCCCCGGGGTGACCTTCTGCCTGGGGTCAGTGTAACTGAATACAGGTTTTCTAGTTCCTCTGAACACAGCTCACACACGGTAGGGATATTCTATGTTGCCCTCAGCACACACGTGTGCATGGACATGCAACCGGCAATGTGAAAACCACTGACTCGGAGCACAGGAATCCACAGCAGAAGGGATATAAAGAGCACCAGGTACCGTTCTGATTGTAGTTGGGATCAAAAACCCACATCAGACTTTAAAATCGTAAGCATGAACAACTAACATACTTACAACCATTCTGTACCCACAGTCACCATTGTTTCTCACTTTCAGTACAGTATTTAGTAAATCACATGAGATACCCACTTTATTCTAACACTTTTATAACAACACTTTATTATAAAAGAGGCTTGTGTCAGGTGATCGTGTCCAACTGCAGGCTGATATAAGTGCTTGGAGCACAGTTAACATGGACAAGGCTAAGCTGTGATGTTCAGCAGGTGGGGTGTGGGAAATGCATTTTCCACTTAACGGTATTTTCAACCTACAATGGGTTAATAAGGGCGTAACCCCACCATGGTGGAAGATCTGTGGTTCGCCATTCCTGTCACAGTCACTAAGGTCAGTCGCCTGGAGCTGCAGGAGACGGAACTTGCGGGGGGGCTGGGCCCTCACTGCCTTCACTCTTCTGGCCCCAAAACCTGGTCTCCTTACAAGTTGGGGCCCCACGAGTAGGGGGCCCTGTGTGTGTAGCCACTCCTCACAAACAACAGGAGTGGGGGGCTCTGGGGAGGGGCAGTGCCTGCTGACGGGATGGGTGAGGGGCAGTGCCTGCTGAAGGAAATGGGTAGAGGGGCAGCTTGTCTCTTCCTTCACCAAGACAACCAGGAGGTCTACAGTCCCCAGCACCCAAGGGGGGTGCCATCCTTCCCCTGTAATGTGCACTCCCTGTCTTCCAGATGCCAGACAGCTAGTGGTGGGGGCGGGAGGGGGGCGGGGGGTGGGCGAGGAGGTTCAGAAGGCTCCTTGCTCTGCCAGGAAGCCGGTCCAGCTAGGTGGGGTCCTGGGGGCCCGCAAGGGCACAGTGTGGAGGCTGGTCTGGATGGTAGAGGGTTTGGTGAAGCAGGGCGCGGGCAGCGGGCAGCTCATCGGGATCTGAGGGCGAGATGGAGGCTGGTGGGTCTGCTGGAACCTGTGCCACTGGGTGCCCGCAGCCATGGGCCCCAGGGCTCACCCACACCCAGCTCTCCCAGCAGCACCCCCAATCCCGGGGCTCACCCACGCCCAGCTCTCCCAGCAGCTCCCGGAACTCCGGCTGGGCCTCTAGCACTTTGAGCAGATTGGTGGACTCCATCCGCTCCAACTGCACCTCCCAGTACACGTAGATCTTCTGGTTGAACGTGACATACACGAGGCAGGGGCTGTTGCGGCTGTCTTTGCAGGCATACAGGCCTGGGGGGTCAGGGACGGGGAGACAAGGTTGGGAGGCTCAGGCCCCACGGTGTTTGTGTCAGCAGTTTCCAGCCTCCCACAGGCCCCGAGCAGAGCACTGAAGGCCCCTTTCTGTTTCTACTGTCGGGAACTCAGCAAAGCAAGTAAAACAGTAAGATATCTGGTCCTTTTCCAGGCCCCAAGTGACACCCAGGCAGGACAGCATCCCAGGGGGTGTTTGCCAAGTTCCTGTCTCAGCAGCAGCCCCAGGGAACACGGGCAGCTGCTCTCGGGTGACGACCCCTCTCCCCAGGTCACTGGAGTGAGGGGACAGGTGTGCTGGGCACGGGGAGGGGTCCCACCTGCACAGAAGGCTCGGATGTTCTCGTCCACCTGGAAGCGGACAACGGTGCGGTTGTGGTCGATGATGTACGTCTGGCCATCCCAGGCGCAGGCGACCACCTCCTCGTGCCCGTTGCCCTGAAAAAGGCCAGACAGCGGATGTAGGAGGAGCAGGGAGCCTCTGAAAGAGGCCTCCTGCGGGGGTGCTGCTCACTTCGGGGGGGAGTCGGGCCTCTCCCGGGAGCCCTAGGAGGAGGGCAGACTTGGCTGTGGAGGGAGAGCGGCCCCACTGAAAGTGCCCGAGGAGGAGGAGGCTGTCCCCCTCCCCCAGGTCCCGCTCACCGTGACATCCAGTTTCTCGAGGGCAAAGAGCTGGTGGTCCACCTGCACCGACCACAGCAGCCTGTCCGCCTCCTCCATGAGCTTCAGGGTGCCTGCGGGGAGAGGCAGGCTGGCTGGGGACCCCATCTCTGCACAGAAGCCTGGGCACATGATCACCCACCCTGCACGGCCCGCAGCTGACCCGGGGAACTCACCATCCAGGGTGCAGAGGGCAAAAAGGCCAGAGGAACCGCTGTCAGGGCTGTGGCCTGGGTGGGGAGGGGTTTGGGGGGGGTGGGAAGGACCAGAAGAAAGAGACGTGAGATCAGAGCCGGCACTGAGGGTGGGGGGGTGGGCTAGAGATGCAGGGGGGCCCTGCACCCCCCCACCCCCACTCACCCCTGCACCTGCCGCACCACCCCGCCCCCGCCGCCCCCACCTCGCTTGATGTTGCCGATGAGGTGAGTGGAGACGTTCTTGTTGTGGATGCGGCCGGAGGTCTGATGCAACACAACGTCCCGGGCAGCCGGGGTCTCCCTGTAGGGAAGGGGGTGGGGGGGAGGTGGTGCTAAGTGGGAGCCCAAGAAAGCCTGGTTCTCCCAACCCCTTGGGCTCATCTCTGTACAAGCTTCCAGGGTGTGAAGCAACTTGGAGACTTGACAGGCCAGCCGGCCTGGCCCAGGGGACATGTCGAGAGAGCGGGAGAGAGCGCGGAGCTGCCAGGCTGGAACCCCAGAACCTCCTCAGTTGCTACAACTCATGGCAGGGACTCCCTGGCCCCAAAACAATCTTCCTTAATGGGGCTCAGCTGCCGGTGCGAGGACCTGGCCAATGCAGCTCTGCCAATTGCAGATCCATCCATGGCCCTGGGCACCCACCTCAGTGCCAGGGACCCCACTGTCCACAGACCCACACACCCCTTACCGAGTGCCCTCCATGGGTCCCTCAGAGGTGGGGGGTGCCCCTGGGTCCTTGTTCCAGGTACACAGCAGAATCGCATAAGCACAACCTGGCTGAGACACCATCAGTTCGGGAACACCCAGGGGCCCAGGCGTCACCGAGAGACTGTCCACCTGCACCAGAGGATGGGGGCTTACAGGGGGTTGGGAGAGAAGGGGGAGCCTGCAGAGGCCGGGGCAGGCAGGTAGGGGCCCTGGGACACGTCCTCAGCCTTCGAGGGCAGCAGCAGGGGAAGTGCAGCATCCCCAGGGACCACCCGCCACGACACACCACACCCACCTCATACCCTCGGCTCTCAGCACAGTGGCCCTTCCTGTCTGCCCATTACCCGCTGTCTCCCCTAAGACTCTCACTGGAAGTGACCTCCTCTGGGTCTCGGTCACAGGGCGATTTTCCCTTCTTCCCGCCCATGCCTCGGCCCCAAGTCCCCTGGAGGAGGGAGCTCCCCCCCGGCCCTGGGTTGTGGTCCTGGCCTCAGCTGCTCACCTGACCCTCCAGCATCCACTTCTTGAGTGACACCAGCTGTCCCGCCGGGTGCTCGGTGCTGTCGCCCAGGTCTTCCCAGCGGAAAGCCCGGACCACGCGGTCTGTGTAGCCTACCACCAGCTCGCAACGGCCATCACCATCTGCACATCCGGAAAACATGGCGGGTTTGGATCCAAGTCTGCCTTCGTCAGCTGAGACCTGCCAGCATGCCCTCCCCACCCCTCCAGCACCAGCGCTTTTTATCAGGTTCAACCTCGGGCCCACCTGCTGAGCCGCCACCACCCCCTGGAGCCTGGGACCCGCTCCTCTGCCCTCCCTCGCGTCCAGAACCAGGCAACTGCCTCGCGGAGCCTGTCATCTCTTCCCCGGGTACACGTCTCCAGAGCCTGATGCACCCGTACCCCTACCAGCACCCTCTAGACGGCCTCTGGCCCAAGTACCTGCGCCGCATCCTTGACCTTGACCTTGAGGGCTCACTCCCCTCAACCCTCACCTGCTGCTCAGATGACCCCTCCCAGCAGGGACTTCCCTGACAACTCCTCTCCCTCAACACCCTCCAGGCCCTTTCCTGATGTATTTCCTCTATACCTTCGAGTGTACTATTTAATTTTCTTATCCCATTTCTATTGCTTATTTTTTGCCCCTACCTTGTAAACATCCAAGAGGGCCATGATCTTTGTCTGTTTTATTCACTACTGCAACCCCAGTGCCCAGGATGATGCCTGATTTATGACAGGAGTGCAGTAACTCGGCGTTAAACACATAACAACCGCCCAGACGAATACTCACAACCCCCCGGCTCCCTTGACCTCTGCTCTGCTGTCCCAACTCCTACTCCCCCGCTGCCTGCAAACACAGCCATGCTCACCAATGTCGCTGATCAGCATGACCTTGGTGTTAGCAGGGATGTGCTGCTTGAAGACTGGGCGCTGCTCCTCCCCACCAAGGGTCTCATGGTGCCCGGAACCATCCAGGGACTTGGCAGGCGTCAGGTCACACAAGTGAAACCAGCCCTCGGCACTCACTGCCACCACCAGGTTCTGGATGAGATGAGGCAGAGGAGGGGGCTGGTGGTCAGAGCACGGGAATCGGGGGTGGGCCAAGGGAAGCCCGGGGGCCCCTGGGCTTCTTACCTTTCCTTTATTACATACGTCCCCAACCCCGACACAAGTGAGCTGCAAGAGAAGAGAGAGGAACTAGGGGGACATGCCAAGGGACCCCAGTGCTCCCTGACCTCCTTGCAACTCCATCATTGGCTGAAAGCGCGTGCACATGGCCCGCGCCAAGAGGCTGTGCTAATCCTGTTGCTGTGCTCTGGGTCCCGTGTACCAGATAGCGGTACATGGACCTAAAGCAGTGAAGACAACTTGGGCTTAAACAAAACAAAAACTACATGTATCAAGGGAGCCAGACTACCGTTTCCAGACATAATCAAATGACCGCCACCATTTTCTACTGTACTTCATACCATCAGGCAACCTATGCAGACCAGTGAATTACTAAGGGAGTCATTCCATCACACAGAATGAAAACCAGCCCAGCTGTGTGCGTGTGTGCCCATGTGGGACAGCTGGGAGAGCTCTGTCTGTGGACTTCCCCCCTCACTCAAATGAGCCCCGAACCAAGAGCTGGTGGCTGAGCACACGCTGGGGAGCTCAGTGGGGGCCCCCAGCTTCAACAGTGCCTCGACAGGAGGGACCCGGGGTTGAATACTGACCATTCCCTGGCAGGAGCAGGTGAGCCATGGCCGGCTGTCATCATTCTTATACACTGACAGCTTTCCGCTGGTGTCCCCCACCACCAGTTCATTTAACTTCAAATGGAGAGAGGAGAGAGGGTTAGGCTGGGGTCCTGCTGAGCCACGCAAGGCCTTCTAGACTCGGCCCACCCTGCAGAAACCACAAGACCTCAAACTGTATCTTCATCGACTTTATCACAGATATTTTGAGACCAATCCAGCCATGGTTTCCCAGTTTATTTCCACACGGGTGTGTGGGCTTTGAGGGCAGGGCAGCTCAGAGGAGGGACAGTACAGAATCTGTGATCCATCTCAGAAGAGCCTGACATATGAACAGCTCAATGCCCTACCTGCCTGCCTTTGGCTCTTCTAATTCACCCTGATGCCTGGGACACGTTTTGAAAACAACCCCACGTATGCAACTTTGGGGGGATTTAGGGCTTCCCTGGTGGTTCAGATGGTAAAGAATCTGCCTGCCCTGCAGGAGATCTGGGTTCAGGAAGATCCCCTGAAGAAGAGAATGGCAACCCACTCCAGTATTCTTGCCTGGAGAATCCCATGGACAGAGGAGCCTGGTGGGCTACAGTCCATGGGGTCGCAAAGAGACAGACATGACTGAGCAACTAACATACTTGAGGAATTTACCTTCAGAGTTCATATTTAATCAGAGGCCAAATAAAAACAGTGGTGGCTCTGGGGCACTCCCTCCTCTAGCAACAAGACTTTTTGATACTGGTGCCTCAGAGAGAACACAAAGCGGGTGGACGTGCCTGAGGGGCAGCATCTGAGTTCTGGGCCTCGAGTGCCCTCAAGTGGTGGCTAAGCTCCCAGGAGAGTCCGGAGCCTCTTCACCATTTACATCTGGGCTCTCTTTCCCAGAGGTTCCCCAAAGGCTGGCTGCCCTTTCAAGGGGATAACCACGAAAACCAACTGGCTCCATAAACCTATTTCCAGAGGTCGTTTCAAGATTCCCCCTTAGGGGAACATCTAACACCCCTTCCTATCCTCATAGGAACACTATTTTCTTCAAGAGATTTTTTTTTTTTTCCCGCCAAGCGGTGAAGCATGAGCAATCTTTTAGTTTCTGGACTGGAGATCAAACCTGTGCCCCTTGCAGTGGAAACGCCAAGTTTTAACCACTGGACTGCCAGGTAACTCCGTTAATAGACAAATTAGAATTTTTTTTTTAAAGAAACAAAGAAAACTAAGAATGAAAGAGAATGCCCAGTCAGCCCTTCAGTTTTTTTTTCAGGGAAAAATCTTTGGTGGGGATCCAAAGACAGATGCCCCAGCATGAGCGCGCCTCTGCAGTCCATCCTGGCCCTGGCCTCCGGAGGTCACTCGGTGACACCACAGGACCAAGCTGCAGGTCAGAAATGCAGACAGAAAGGAAGCGGGTTCTCTCTGAGTGGGTGTGTATTCCATCCCTGGCTTCTCCCTCTTAGCAGGAAATAAATCACTTGCAAAAAACTTTAGGTGAATGGTTTGTTAGGATGAAATAAAAGTCTTTTTTCTGGCCCGGAATCTCCAAAGACTGGCCTGGAGCACCAGTTACAAAATGTCTATCCACACTCATGCAGGCTGAGTGGACCACATCCCATCACTAGCCAACTACCTCACCTACTTGCCCTTTTTAAAATTACATTTATTGATAACAAGTAAAGCCCCTCAAATTGCTTTGAGATACATAATAACATCTGCCTTTCCTGACAACCCTCATTTAGTCAACAAACATTTACTGAGTGTTAATTACACACCAGGCACTACTCTAGGTGTTGGAAGGGAATACAGCAGCGGAAAAAAAGATTAAAAATTCCTGTCGTCATGGAGCTTACAACTTTTGTTTTTTAAGGATAGTATAATATACGGTAATATTGCAGAATTGAGTGTGCAATGCAGTTATTAAAGTACAATTTAATTTAAAAAAAATGACACTGAAGCTATGAGAAAAGCCATATAATTTTCCCTTTTAAATAAAGATGATCGGATAAAATGGAACATGACTTATCTCTAGAGTCACTTCGGTAATTTACTGCTCTAAAATGCCTCCCTTGATTTTCTCATAAAATTATACTGCTTAGTATATGAAGAAACGTGAAAGCCCAGAAAACATAATACAAATTTACGAGAATAACTTTTTCCTCCCTAGAGAAGGAAGAGCAAAGAGGCCTCAAAATACCTTTCCCATCACAGGGCAAAGGAGGCTAGGGGCGGGGCGGGGCGGGGTAGGGGTGAGTGGTGGGATGTTTTAGCCCTAGTGTATTCCCAGGGAAAAGACAGCATAGAACAAGGAAGTGAGGATGAGACGCAGGTAGCCACAGAAAGGCAACAATGTGCTTTGCATTTAGACTATGAGAGATTATGGGGAAAAAGGGTCCCGCACCCTCAACAGCCACGGCCCCCTTCGATGACCCCACCCTAGAACCCTTGGCACATTTTAATCAATGGGCTCATGACATTTCCCTATTATTGTGACTATCGCACTCTCCACCCCGCCTATCCCCCGCCCCACGAGGGGCGGACTGGGAGTGTTCTGTCCACTTTTGAATCCCCCAGAACTTCGCAGAGTCCTCGGACCACAATCCAACACTAACGACAACGCTGAGGTGTCCCGGAGCCTTTACCGAGCACCAGACGCGGTTCGGGCCTGCTCTACTGGTATTAACACACTTTAAAGACGGGAGAAGGAAGGGGAGGAAAGGGAGATGGACACTGAGCTTGTAACTCAAGCCAAGGACGGCCGGCCAGGGGCCTAAAGCCGTCCGGTGAGCCGAGCCAGGACGGGTCGGGCGGCAGGTGCTCCTGCGGAGCCGCGCGCGTGCTCCGTGTTTATTTCCGAGGCTCTGAAAGGGAAGACGGCCCCGAAAGGGCGGGGAAGCCGGCCACGCAGTTTACTGGGTCCTCCTGGACACAAGTCATTGAACCACGCAGCGGGCCCGTTAGGGAAGCCCCTAGGACACCAGACCAGGGTTCCGGACCAACGCACCCAGGACGCTGCGCACCAGAGTTGCCCACACGGCCCCTCCCAGTCAATTTCCCCTAGCGCCCGTGCGCACGCGCGCGGGCCGCACCGCCCGGCCTGCAGGGCACGCCATCCACTCCCACGCAGCACGCAGGCGCCGGCAGCCTCCCCCACCCCTGGCCCCGCGCCCGCGTGCGCAGAGGCCTGCGTCTCCAGTGCGCATGCACCGACCGTGTCGTTGTCAACGTCTCCGAGGCAGATGGCATGTGGGAAGAGGCTCCCGCTGAACTCTAGGGCTACGCGCTGTACGTAGCTAACCGACCTCATCGCACTTCCGAGGGCTCAAGGACCGTGGAGCCCCTCTAAGTGTTCCCCGAGTCCCTCTCAACAGGCGCCCGAGCGGAGAGGCCACCCAAAGCAGAAAGCTTCGCCAAAGTCTGAACCTCCAATCGCGGCCTACCTCGCTAAACCTCGGCGAGGGGGCGGGCCTTCCGGGCGCGCCGGGCGTGTGGGCGGGGCTCCCGAGCCTGAGTTGAGTGACAGGGCCTCGGGCCACTCCTCCTCTCCGCAGGTTGCGGCGTGTACCGGTCAGCCTAAGCTGGCTGGGCTGAGTCGTTTCCTTGACAACAGAGCTCTCGAGGGCTTGACCTAATAACCTTGACATCGTCCTCTGTTGTCCTGACAGTGAAGATTCCTAGCCCCCAGACCATCCCTGAGAATCATAACTGTAATAACCAACGACTCTGTGGTTTCCAGTGTTTTTAAAAGAAAACTAACATCCCTTTAGTAGTCTTGAAATGAGGGTAATGAACCGGACCAGCTTTTTAAAAAATGAAATAGAAAAAGCCAAGTAATCTCGAGTAGTAAGGTAAGTTTTTTTTTTGAAACCTTTGTTTCAGTTGTATATATTTATACATGTATATAGGGCTTCCCAGGTGGCGCAGTGGTAAAGAATCTGCCTGCCAATGCGTGAGTTGCAGGAGATGCCTGTTGGATCCATGTGTTTGTGAAGATCCCCTGGAGAAGGAAATGGCAACCCTCTGTGGTCTTCTTGCCTGGGAAATTCGGTGGACAGAGGAGCCTGGCGGGCTACACTCCATGGGGTGGAAAAGAGTCGGATGCAACTGAACACACAGATACATGTAAATACAGACTTATGTAAAGAAATTTTTTTTCCATGGTGGGTGTGCTCTGTTGGTAAAAGTTTGAAAATCACTTGTAAAGCACATATAGTCACTTGTAAGGCACATTGCACATATATTATCTCATTAGGTAGTGCACGTGAGCTTGTCTGCTTATTCCAGATTATTTATTGAAAAAAACAGGTTCAGCAAGATAAAATAGCAAGGCAAAAAGTGATGGAGGTGGATCAAACCAGAATTGTTTGAGCCAAAACCCACATCCTGTCATTGACTGCCAGAGTTCCCAGAAAAGTCCTCAGTCTAGAAAATCAGGGTCGCTGGGATTCTTGGTCTGGTCTAGCCCTTCAGCACAAAGCTCTTGCCCTCCTCAGGGGTCTCTGTCTATAGTGTAAATGGGACGTCCCCATCAAGTCTAGACTTGGAGTGAAACCTTCCATGTTGAATCCAGTGCAGCCTTTCTTTGGGCCTCATCAGTCAGAGCATCGAAAGTATTATTTGTGAGATTCTGCAGGTGCTCAGTGGGTTTTCAGGTTTAGGCCTGCAGGCCCAGACTAATTTACACATGGGTTTTTCAGGAGTCAACATTGTAAAAATAAGGACATCTACCTTACCCTGGTGGCTCAGTGGTATAGAATCCACCTGCCAATGCAGCTGATGCAGGTTCGATCCCTGGGTTGGGAAGATCCCCTGGAGGAAGAAATGGCAACCGACTCCAGTATTCTTGCCTGGGAAGTTCCATGGACAGAGGAGCATGCAGGCTACAGTCCATAGGAATGACAGAGTCGGACACAACTTAGGGACTTACCTGGAGATGTGGAATCATCTGACCCAGTGGAAGAAAGCCCCGGGAGCTGGGGAGGGGGTGGCACCTTTTGTCCTGGAGGTACTGTGGCTCTCATGGCTTGTGGGATGAGGACAGGGAGCAACTGGTCAGAACAGCAGAGGAGGTAGTCTGGACAGACGCTGGGCACAGCACCCGCAGCTCTCTGTTTCGTGCAAGGTCCACGCAGAAGGCCTTGGGTCACATGTGTGTCAGTCAGTTCAGTCGCTCAGTCATGTCCAACTCCCTGCGACCCCATGGACTGCAGCACGCCAGGCCTCCCTGTCCATCAGAAACTCCTGGAGTTTTACTCAGACTCGTCTGTTGAGTCGGTGATGCCATCCAACCATCTCATCCTCTGTTGTCCTGTTCTCCCACCCCCAAACTTTCCCAGCAGCAGGGTCTTTTCCAATGGGTCAGTTCTTCACATCAGGTGGCCAGAGTACCAGAGTTTCAGCTTCAGCGTTAGTCCTTCCAGTGAATATTCAGGACTGATTTCCTCTAGGATGGACTGGTTGGATCGCCTTGAAGTCCAAGGGACTCTCAAGAGTCTTCTCCAACACCACAGTTCAAAAGCATCAGTTTGGCACTCAGCTTTCTTTATAGTCCAACCCCCACATCCATATATGACTATTGGAAAAACCATAGCTCTGACCAGACAGACCTTTGTTGGCAAAGTAATGTCTCTGCTTTTTTTTTAAAATTTTTTTTTTTTTCTGCTTTTTAACATGCTGTCTAGGTTGGTTATAACTTTTCTTCCAAGGAGCGTCACATGTACCTGGTGCTGTACGCCCACGTCCTTTATGGCAGGCACGTGTGCTGCCTCACCTGGCTCTACCACATCTCTGTTCTCGCATCCTGGCCCCAGTCCTAAGCTTCCACCAGGTTTAAGGGGTGGAAAAACAATCAGTTTTTAAATGTTTATATCTGAATGTAAACTTAGTTTTGAATTGTGTTTTTCACTGTATGTTTGACTCCATTGTTTTCTCTTTTTCCCAGCTCTTTTGAGTGAAATAGTAAAATAATAAATAATCTGGGACAAAATAGTTGAGCATCACCTCGCGTCAGTCACCCAGTGCTCTGACCTGACTCAGCTCTCTGAAATGGTACCCTGACCCAGCACCCACAAGGCCTTGTTTTATCTTCCTCGTCACTTGGGCTTATTGTTCTTGACCTTTCTCTGCCGGGGTGCCTGTTTTTGTTAGCTCTGTTTGTCATGTCATGAAGGTCATGTTACTGTGATTGCAACTTGGATTCATTGCCTCTTGGCTTTTGTCAAGAGAGCCAAATAAAGTTAGAAAGAAAGGAAAGATAGGTCTCTGGGAAATAAGGCATGAATCAGTGCCCCCTTCCTACATCCCTGCCACGCCTCTCCCTTCTGCGTCGGTTACTTTTAATTGCACCAAGCATTACAGTCAGTGAGTGGAACACGGGCCCCAGCATTGCAGAGCCTTGTGGACAGAGCCCTGGCTCCACAAGGAGACTCCTGTTCTTGACCCTTTCTGGTGAGATGATTGGTGGGTCTCCACTGGCACCATCTAGAGCTTGGCTCCTTTAGGCCAAGCACTCTCAGCATGGGTTTTGGCTTCCTCCCCAGTGCTGCCTAACCAGGCCTTCTTCCTGATCAGATGACTTGTATGTGGTGTTTGTGTGGGTGGCATATTCTCTACAATAGCCAAACAATAGCCTCAGTAGAAACCTGCTAACAGCAGGGCAAGGGGAGGTGTGTTAAGCGGGAAGCACTTCCAGGGAGATTGTTTGTCCACTTCTTTCTCCCCGAGTAGACATGGGTTGTCCTGTTCAGGGTGTGGACCTAGGATGCTCAGTAAGAGAGAGGACCTTTCAAGAAATCTCTTCCTGTATGTGAGACCCAGAGCTGCGCACCATCCCGAGGGCACGGTCAAGCTTCCAGTGGGCTGTGTGAGACTCCACCAGTCTTGACTCTTGATGCGCCTTAGCACACGGAGGGTTCTAGCGGCCTTGATGCACAGAAACCTGTCCCTCGGACTTAACTTGACTTAGAGATTAGGCAGAACAACAGTTGCAGGCAGTCCTGCTCTGAGAGGTGGTTGCTCAGTCCCCCACCACCACAAGTCTGGCCCTATTAGGACCCCCAGCTCAGGAAGGCTTTGCTCTCAGAACCTGTCTGGGCTGCTCTCTGTTCAAGACTCTATTGCCGGTTAACTGAAGGATGAAGAGTAGTTCTTGTCACTGAAGGCCAAATGCAAGGAAATGGGCTTAAAGCAAAGGATGGTGAACACGTTTTAGAGCTGGATGGAGGTGGTCTTGCAACATTGTAATTGGACTAAGTGCCATGGAATTGTTCCCTTTGAATGGGTAAAACTTATTTGAATTTCACCTAAAAAAAACCAAAACAAACAAACAAAAAAAAACAGAACCATGTTCTGTGTGAGGCACTTCTCACCATGGAACCGGAGACTGGAGATCTCAAGGAACCTGTCTTGGATGGGGGGACAGGTGTGACTGGTCCTCACCTCTAGTCAGGGAACTCTCAGAGTTCATAAAGGCCTTGATTTTTCTTGGTCATTCCTCCTTAGAACCACTTTGTAAATCTTTCACATTCTCAGTTTGCCTCCCAAAGCGGTGTATTTAGTGTTGTTCATTACATGCTAAATAAGGTTTTGTTACATTTCAGAATTAAGGATTGTTGGTGCATCTACTTTATTGGAGGTTGGCAAGCAGCTGGGGAACTGGGGCGGTAAAGCCAGCATAACGATTTCCAGAAAGAGAACAGGGAAGTCTTCTCACTCTTAACGTTGGCTTTTCTCAGCACTGCCCTGAGCCCACTGCCATTTCCACCTGAGGTTTACCTGGCTTTGAGGAGGGCTCTGGTGGTCAGGCTTCCCTGGTGGTGCTAGTGGTAAAGAACCTGCCTGCCAAGGCAGGAGATGTAAGAGACATGGGTTCAATCCATGGGTCAGGAAGATCCCATGGAGGCGGGCATGACAATCCACTCTAGTATCCTTGCCTGGAGAATCCCAGGGAGCCTGGCAGACTAGAGTCCATAGGCTCACGAGGTCGGACACAACTGAAGCAACTTTGCAAGCACTGGTGGTCAGGGACGGGGGAGGCTGGTCTTTAAGACAGAAGGTTCCACTGTGTAATTCTTGATTTTCAAGCAATGGTAATAGTTTCCTGAAAGGGGACTCCTTGTTACTAGTCCTGCCAAAAATGTCTTTCATCTGTTCTTTCTCCAACTGAAACAGTGGACACAGTCGAGCCTCTCACGCAGACTGGTGTGGAAGGGAGTCGAGCGTACCACCGCTGGGAGGGCAGGTTGGCCCCAGCCTGCGGGGCGACCTGCAGCCCAAATGGGCTGGGAAGGCGGTCAGGGCTGAAGCCTGTAGAGATCTGATCTGCCAGGCAGGGTCCCTGGTGCTCAAGGGAACACTGGGGTACCTTTCATGGACCAGAGGTGGGTGGGGGGCCCATGGCAATGCTGGAAGGAGGTTGCTGGAACCAGGACTGCAGATACTCAGGAGATAAAATCTATAGAACGTGATGTACAGATCAGTACTAGAACAAGATAAACCCTGTTTAAAATTTTCCAGAGACCACTTTAACTCTGCAGGAACTGCTTAGGCCTGGTTGCTACTGGTTCTGTCTACTCCACATTCTCTGTGCATGGAAAAATTTAGGCATTGGTGAGGAGGGTGCAGCTGCCTGGCAGACGCACTCATAGCTGACCCAGAGCAGAATGGAGTAGGAGGTGCATTTATCTTTAACCTTAAAGGCTTCTGAATGCTTTGGTAAAACATCCTCAGAAGGCAGTTTTAATGTTACATTGACCAGAACTTGTCCAGTTCCAGGGTTCTACATGAGTGCAGTTTTTCTTTTCCAGTTATGTTTCAAATTCTTAGAATCCTACGGAAGCACCCAGAGGTGGAAGGACCCTCACATGTTTCTTTTTTCCATCTCCATTTTTGCAGATGAGCAGAGGCTCAACTTGCCCAAGGTTTCATGAACCTCAGGCCACTCTGGATTTGGTTAAGAGGTCATGTCACATTCCAGGCAGACCTTCCCATTCAAGTTCTGAACCTTGGTTTCCTCACCTGTAATGTGGGGCAATGCCTCTTTCTGTGGGATGGTTTCAAGGATCCAAGTTAATCTGTGTGAGGCTCTTGGTTTAGGGCTGGGTTTACATCAGAAGTGCTTACTGAGTGTTAGCTATATCATGGGCTGTGAGACCAGAACACAAACCCTAAGCCCAGAGCATTGCTGTGACCCCAGCAGAGAGCAAGCAGAGGCACTGGGAGAGAACAGGCGAATTTTCGTTCTGGCTCCAGCAGCAGCAGCGCTCTATGGCTTGGTGAACCTTTCCACACAGAAGTGAATCCTGCACTGTGACAAAGGATGGAGAAAAGTCCTCCTGGAAGGAACTGTACAGGCATGTGGTGGGCAGGTTACCTGCATCACGGTGCAGGGACTGGACAGCCCACACAGGGGCAGAAAGGCACACAGGCTCTGGCCTGTAGTCAGGAGCATCTGGACGAGATGTGTGATGCCTCACTTGTGTCCCTTGGCTTCTCCCAGGGCCCTGGAATGCTGCAGAAGCCACGGGTCAAAGCACGGCTAGAAAGCAGCACAAACTCTTCCCCACTGAGGCCAAGCAACAAGCTGCAGTGTGGGCCCGAGTGGCTGTCGCTTCTGTCAGGCTTCATGACTGTTCCTCCCTGTTCCCTTGTGTACAAGGTGACAGGTGTTGCTGACACCAGGGGTTTCACTCTGTAAGGAAGCCAAGAAAGCTTGAACTCTCTACTGAATCGCTTAGGCAGAAGCCGATACATCTAACCTCAAAGCAAACTCAGTAGTTTGGTCCCAGAAGTTTAGATGTTTGTGTATTTCCCGAAGCAGTTAGGAAAACCAGAGCTACTAAAACCTGCCAGGCTGCTGCAGGGAGGGTGTGGGGAACCGCTGGCCAGGCCTTCAGCGCAGGCCCTACTGGACTGCTGCACCAAGTCTGCTGCACTGCGGGTGGGGCTGGGCACAACGTGGGCGGCTCCCTTAGCTCTGCCCCCACGGTGCAGCCGCCCACACCCACCCTTAGGCCGAACAGAGAAAGGGCTGCCCAACACCCAGGTTTTTAGTGTTTCCACTTTATTGCTCAAGCACGGAACTTGAGGCAAGCCTGGACCTTCAGCAACGTGCAGAGAAGAGGCTGAGGGGGTGGGGACGCGACCTGGCTGAGAAGGGACACTGACGGGAGGGGGTACGAGGGTGGTCACATGACACCAGAAGACAGCATCAGCCGCGACACCTGGGCTGAGCAGGAAGGGAGCGGAGGTAACGGGCACAGCAGTGGTTTTCCCATGCCCCTAGCACCCACGTGGAGGCCGCGTGTTTGGAAACGGACCGGGAGGAGGGAGGAGGGGAAGTGGCTGCCCAGGAGGAGTCTCCCTGTCCACCCTGCCTTCTTGTCGGACCTCACATCCCTACCACTCGCCCCTTCTACTGTCTGAGAAACGGACACAGCAAACAGGAAGCAAAATAAATTAACATTCTGATGAGTGTGCGTGTGGAGGGACATTCATTCACGTGGAATGGGGGAAGGCGGGAGGGGGTGACACCACCTAAAATGAGCCCACCCACCTCAATCCCCCAGCCTGCTCCTCTCTCCCTTCCCCCAAAGCCACCATCCAACCAGATAGAAAAATAAAGGTCTAATTCACTCAAAATTCTTCAGTTTGTACAAAACTAACAGGGTGGAGTAGGGTCGGGGGGCGGGCAGGCAGCCATGGGAACAGGGCTGGGGCAAGGCTATGCTTCCGCCTCCACCTGAGGCTGGCCCCCAGCCACCTCGGTCTTCGGCTCATCCCTCATCTCTGTGTCAGCTGGCTGGTCTCCTGCAGCCACTGCAGCCTTGGCCTGTGAGAAGGGAAGAGGGGCAGGGCGTCAACACCAGTCCTCATTTGTCCCTCGCCCCTGATGAGAAAGGTGACTGTCATTCCAGGTCCCCACTCACCTGCCTGCACCCAAGTGATCGCCCTGCACACCTGACACCACAAAGTCTGTACCCAAAACATGCACCCGATGTAAAAAATAGTACACACTAACTTCCAACAGAATTACAGAGACCAAAGACACACCTGTGCATGCATGTACAGGATCAGGGACTCACATAATTTATTGCAATACTATGGAAAACTGAACGTGTCCATAGCAGGGCACTCAACACTTCAAATATAGCTAGTTCAAACCGGTTTAAATGCACATTGGATTTTGAAGCCTCAGTTAGGGGAAAAGAACACAATTTAAAAGCGCTATCTGTTAAAATATTTAGATATCTTGGGTCGATTAAATATTAAAATTAACTTCACCTATTTTACTTGTTTTTAAACATAGCTACTAGGAATTTAAAATTAGAAATGTGGTTTGCATTATATTTCTGTTAGTGCAGGTTTAGAACACTGAGAGACTAAGAAGCAGGAAACAGGGTAAATAAGATACGATACACCCACTCAGTGAAATACTATGTGAGCCTGAGAACGAGAAAGCTCTTTTGCACATTGATGTAAAATGAGCTTCAGGTGTGACATCCAAAAAGCACAAGGCACAAGCAGGAGCAGCAACACGCGGGAGCACTGCCTGTCTTGCAGGCTTTTTACGACATGCTCTTCTGTGCAGTTCAAATCGAACCATGTAATTGCATCACCTGTTTAAACCTCAGGTTCTTAAACCTGTGTTTTACTAATGGGCACAGAGAATACCGGCCAGGCAGCTCACCAGAACATCCAGCTCCCATCCCCCAGGGCCTGAGCAGGGACACACACAAACTGGCATGGGGCCAGGTGATGCCTCCTCCTCCCGTCCACCCTGCCCATCCTCACCTTGCTCTCCTCCTCGGCCAGCCTCTCAAACATGTTGGCGTAGAGCTTCTTCTCCTTCTCAAGCTGCTTGCGGATGCGCTGCTGGCACACGACCAGCTGGGCCTTGGCCGCCTTGTTGCTGGGGTAGAGCTGCAGAACCTTCTGGAAGTCAGCCCGTGCCAAATCAAAGTCATTCACTGCCAGGTGGGCCTCTCCCCGGCGGAAGAGGCCTTTCTCGTTGTTGCTGTCTAGTTCCAAGGCCTAAGACACACAGAGGCAGCAGCAGCAAAGTCTCAGATCTTCCCAAGTCACTGCCGGTGAGATGGGACCCCACCCCAAATGAACAAGTCTCGGGCACCACATGGAAAGGACCCAAGTCTAGAAAGCACCTCATTTAGTCCAGGAGGCACACAGGAAGACAGGCCTTCAGATGAAAACCACCTGGGATGTTAACACACTCTTCTCTCTTTGGGGGCAGGAGAACCATGCGGCTCATGGCTTGGTTCCCCCACCAGGGATCAAACCCATGCCCCTTGTGATAGAAACTCCGAGTCCTAACCACTGGACCTCCAGGGAAGCCCATCCTCCTTCAGAATAAAGCGGGTACACAGGAGGGAGAGGCAGAGAGCCAGGAGAAGTGCTGAACTGGTTGCTGCAACCAGTGCCTCCACTCGCCTCTGTGCCCTCGTCCTCAACCTTAACTAAGCCAAAAAACCTCTTGCTTCCCACACTGCTGCCTCTGGGCCTCCACTTCAGAGCCCCACAGCTCCATCCTGCCACCCCTGCCCTAGTCCCAAGGCCAAGTTTCAGGCACACCGGTAGCTCACCCAGCCCTGCCTGGGCACACCGCCCTCACCCTCCTTAGGAGCCTCACCTTGTTACAGTTCTCAATGGCAGCGGAGAAAGCTTGTAGCTTCAGATGACACATGGCCAGGTTGAGGTGGGAGGCCAGCCGAAGGGCCTGCGCCTTCTGTGCGTCCTCATCAGAGAAGCTAGACTCATATTCCAGCCAGGACACAATCTTCTTGTACTGCAGCACAGCTTGCTTGTACTTGCCTTCCTACAAGGGGGCAGGCTCGGTGGCCCCAGGCTGTCACAGCCCGTGGACACCAGTGACCCAGGGGCGTGAGAGTCATGACCGCGCCGCCCCCACCCCCCCGCCCCCCGACCAGCCAGCTCAGATGCACTTGGTGACAGCTGCAGGTACCAGCCTGTCTACTTCCTGGCAGAAAGCCCACTGTTGTGGCAGAGCCCGCCCTGGGGGTGTCTGAGGACCTCACTGTGGGCTCACCTTGAAGTACACAGTGCCTCGCTCCTTCACTATGGTGCTCTGCTCCAGCTTCTCCTCTGAACTCATCTCCCAGGACTCCTTGGCCTGCCATACCCCAAAGGAGAAAAACAAGCTGTCAGCCACCCCAAGGAGTTATGTCCAAGGTGGGGCAGGGAAGACCCTGAACAAACTCACCTTCTCAAAACTCTTGAGATGTATTTCATACTTCAGCTCAGCATTTGGTGGGATCTGGAACTTCTCCTTCCCAGCGCTGCCAAAAGCATAGCTGTGGGGGCAAGAAAACACCAGGTCATTTCTTAACTTGCTTCATGCTTAAACAGCTTCCTGCTTCCTGCAAAGTGCCCTCCATCCCTTTGGTCTTGGTGCAAACTTCCTTGCTTGGCAAAATCTTCCCTAATGCTGCTTCTTCACAGTTAGTTGGGCTCTTAGTTAGCATCTTATACACTGTTCTAGTAACTCACATTACACACTAGCACGATTATCTTCCTGAGCAGAGAGCCATTAGAAGGTGGGAACAATGTCTCTGAACACCCAGAAATTTCCCACACTGTGTCTGGCACATAGTAGGTATGTTTCAACAAACATCAGTAATGACTGAGTCAATTAACAGGAGACGAAAACCTTGGGCTGGAAAAGGCAATCTGCCGCAGCCGTAACTGAAAAGATGAGGTTTTGATTCAAAAAAGACGTGGGTGATTGTGGCCACACTCCTGACTACAAGAGAGGTCCTGACTGTCTGTGCGGAGTGCCCAGCGCATAGTGACCACTGGCAGGGGAGGGATACAGCTGGCTACACAATATAGGCAGGCTCTACAACTCACCTGGGCTAGGAGATCTGACCTCAATTCGCCCACCTGCTCTACAGACTGCCCACATCTGGGCCAGAGCTGGCCTCACCTGGGCTTGAGATACACAATGGAATGTTCTCCTTTTTCCATGCGCTGGATGGCTTTCTCTAGCCCACAGGGCAGATCCATGCTCTCCCCCTCGCCGACCTCAAAGCGGAGCTCCCGCCGGTCAAACATCTGGTCCTTGAAGTACCCTTCCAGTGCAACTGGCATAGCAGACAGACAATGCACTGGGTTTCAGTGGACTGGTGATTGAGGGACACACACCAGCCACCTTCAGCCACCCCCCGCCCCATCGCCCTGTCCCTTCCTACTCCCCAGCTGCCCTTCTGCATTCTCAGATGGAGGGATGTTAAGAGAATGTGGTTCAATCCCTCACTTTACAGATAAGAAAGCTGGATCAGAGAAAGGTATGGACCCGCCCAAAGCCACCCAGGCCCTGCACAATGGAACCCGAGTGGGAATCCCGGATTGTGCAGCCTCACCCTCCACGATGGCGCCATCGTTAGGCTTGGCATAGCCCTCCCCTCGCGTCCGTATTCTCCTGATGATCCCGCCGTCTTCCTCTTCTGTCAGGTCCTCACCCTTGAACTCGAACAACTCCACCTGTGGGACAAGGTCCAAGGATCCACGCTCCCCTCTCACTCACACGAGTCCCTAGTAAGGGCCAGAGCAGGTCGGACTGCACAGGCAGCCACACCAGGAGTGGACCAAGTAGCTAAGTTCCCAGGAGCGGCCCTGGTCTCAACCTTGGTATCAGCCTCCTTATTGACTGCTCTGCAGAACAAGCGCACGTTCCAGACAGTCCTAGTTCACCGGCCAGACAAGCTCCGTCTGACAGGCGCTAGAAATGACCCAACACCTCTCACCAGTCTTCCCAACGTTCTCCGAGCCTCCACTGCATAGGGCTCAACCATTTTTGAGTCTTTTTGTTTATTTGTTTTCATTTTTGAGTCTTAACACAGTGAAGTTCCACCTTCTCAGAAAGGCTTGCCCCTCGCCTCGACCCACAAGAGAAGCATCTCTTCCCGCATCTTATCTCTAGGGCACCAATGTTCGCCACTGTCAGTCATGACTGCGTGGAGCCTGTAACCTCCTGATTCCTTTGTTTTGGTCCGCCTCCCTCTGAGCACCCCTCTTGAGATGAACAGGACTTAAGCCCTCGCCCCGCTGCTTCAAGTCTGAAAGAGGGGCTTGCGGTCACCTCCCCCCACCTGAAACCTGCCCACCGGGGGCTCTCTGGCAGTAGCAGTGGGTGATGTGCACTGCATGTCTTCCCTCCCCTGAGGGCAGGCCCTCAGCCTTGGCTACACTGTCTTCAGGCAGCAGGAAGGGCTGGAGGGCGGCCAGACCATGGGCTGAGATAAGGTTGGCTCTCTGCCTGGCCCTCTGTGGCTGGACACTCACCTCAAACACAAGCGTGGCATTGGGAGGGATCTTCGGGGGGCTGCCCGCTGAGCCATAGGCGTACTCCGGCTTGCAGGTGATGTGGCACACTTCACCCACCTTCATGGTTGCTACAGCAACATCCCAAGCCTTGATGACCTCCCCTGTAGGTACAGAAAAGAAACAGGTCCTCTTTGGCAGGAATCTCCCTCCGGGTTCAAACAGTGGCCTGAGAGACTTACTGTCCCATGCCCAAAGGGAAGCTGGGTCCTCTTTAGAAATAGGACCAGGAAGGTAGAAAATCTGGTTGCAATAAATGTTATCAGGTCTCAGACCTCTCAAAAAAAAAAAAGAAAAATCACTCAACTCTGAAACAAAGAGGTTCAAGAAAACAAAGCCGTCCACCCCGGAAAAGGAAGCAAGGTTTGCAGAGGTGATCAAGGCAATGAGAGATTAAAAAATCAATAGAGTTTCAGGACAGTGGACATAAAAAAAGAACTGTAATAAACCGTTCCCTGTTTAAGCTTCTGAGAATTCAGTTTCTGTTTGTGTGACAGAGCGCACACCCCGTCCTAAGAGCCTGCTAACCATGCCCACCTTTCCCCAGGTCGAAGGAGAACCTGTCCTTGCGGTCCAGGCTGGAGTCGAACTTGGTGCCATCGAGCAGCCAGCCTGTGTAGTGGACGAAGACTCGGTCCCCAATCATGGGCGTCTCCGTGCCCGTGCCCTCTCGCTTGATGACCTGGAAGGCAGGGAAGGGGAGACGGTGAGTCCCTGGGGATGGACATAGAGAGGAACCGCACCTGTCCGCACGCCTCTGGCCAGAATGTAAGCGGTCTCTTCTGCCCACTTGTAAGTAACTCAACAAACCCATCATCAAATGACTCTGCTGTGAGGTTTGGCTAGAATTAAACTGACCTCCCTTTCTTGGACAATGACACGACTTGGTTTGAAACACTGGAGACAAAACACCTGAGGTCATTTTTGCTGTTACAATCTTATAGAAGTCACTTTAACTCTCTAAACTGACCGTATTTGTAAAGTAGTGATGATAAACCCTATCGGAGTGGTTATAGAACTAAACCAGTAGAACACTGAGTAATTATCAGCAGCAAAGGGGAAAGTATTTACGCTACATTTCCTCATTCTTCCTAAAGTCAGTCATCCAATCAGGTCTGGTTTAGAAAGAAAAGAGGGAAACCAGAAAGTCCAGGAGAGGTAAGAGCAATCAACAGCTTACAAGTGAGCTACGGCCCTTGAGCAGGCCCTAGGCTCTGACTTGGGACTTGAGCGTTCCTGACTGGTAGGCGACTGCAGTCCTTGAAGTCAGGGCTAGAATACTGCCCAGAGTTTAGAAGAACCTGCTTCTCTTCTTTCGCGTTTATAAAAAGGTGGGCTACCTGGTTAAGTGTGCAAGTTACCCTCTAAGGGAAGCTCCCAGATGCAATGGACATGGACTCGAATAAACAGAAAAGTGAAAGGGAAGGCGTGGAGAATGAAAAGGGGAAATGAGTCTCCCTGGAAGCCCGCGTGCACACTCGGAGAGCAGCCAGGTGCGTTTCTGAAACGGCTAAGAAGCTCCCCGAGGTCTCCAACCCGCCCTGGCCACACGCACACGTGGGCTGAGCTGCGGAAAGCCAGGAGGAGCAAAAACGTTGGGTGAGGATACGAACGAAGCCGGCCTAGGATTTCGCCATCCTGGACAGCGCAGAACCCGCTCCGAACCGCGGCCGGTTGTCCTGACCCGGGTCAAGACGCCCTGCTGCCTGGCTCCCAGACCCCTCCCCTGGCTCCTCCGGCCGTAACACGGTTTAGGGCGCCCAACCAAAGCACCTCCTCCGAGACCCGCACCCCGCGCTCAGGAAGGCCCCGGTCCGGGGGTGGGGTGGGGTGCGGTGCGGGCGCGCGGAGGCGGGGGGGCGGGTGTACTACAGGTCCCGGCATGCACCGGGGTGGGGGGGGGAGGGGACAGCATGGCCGAGCGGGTGACCTAGCCGGGTCCCAGCCTTTAGGAAAGGGGTGACCAGAGGGCGGAGGGCGCCGGGACCGCGCGCCAAGTCGCACAAAGGCCCGCGCGGGTCAGGCAATAACTCCCGGGACCCTGTTCGCGTCCTGGCTAATGTTTAACTGCCAGGGTCGGCGAGCTCCGCACCCCGGAGGCGCAGGCGGCCGGGGTTGGGGGGGGGGGGGGGTTGCTCCCTGGCGGCGGCGGCGGCCGGGAAGGAGCCGGTCGCGGGTCGCAGATCGCAGCGGGGCGGTGCACGCCGCCGGGTCCCCCGCGCGAGCGCGTCCGCCCCCCGCCGCGCCCCTCCCGGCGCATGCCGCAGCCAGAGCAGGCGCTACGCTCCGGGACCCTTCCCGGGCCTGGGGAGCCTCAGCCCAGATGTTCCCCTTCCGAGCGTGTGGCCGCCCTGCCGCCCTGAACCGGCGGCCTGGCCAGGAAAGCGATGCGCCCGGCCACGGCTGCACGGCCTGCTCAACTGCCGGCCGGGAGGCTGCAAAGGCGGCCGTCCAAGCCCCGGCCAGAGGCTGGGGGGCTCCCGGTGCCCGCCCCCCTTCGCCGCCGCCGCCCCTGGGCGCCTCCTGCCCCTTACCTTAAGCACCCCCTCATCCTGCTTGGGGCTGATGTCCACCCCTTCGAGGGGCAGCGGCGCCGACTGCGCTCCGCTCTCGGCCGCCTTCGTCTCCTCGGCGGTCATCACGCCGTTTCTCGGGCAGCGGGCGCCGGGGTGTGCGCGGCGGTGCGGGCGGCGGGTCGGGGCTCGCGCACCTCTCTGCTCCGGCGCGGGCGCGGGCGCGGGCGGGAGGAGGAGGTGGGGTCGTGGGCGGCCGGGGGAGCGATTGGTCCCACCGCCTCGGAGGGAGGGGCTGGGAGGAGCCGGGCGGCCGCGAGGGACGTGGGGGGAGAACTTTCTAGAGGCGCCGGCGGCCCAGCGGGTTCAGGCTCTGTAGCTCAGGGCGCTCCTGCGGAAGGTGGTTTCTGGTTCGTTCCTCCCGCCGGCCGCCTGGCCCCGCCCCGGCCCCGAGACCCTCGGACTCGAGAGCCAGCCCCCTCCCCTGCCGCTCACTCTCCCGGCCTCCCCTTCCCGTACCCCCGGTCTAGCTGGATTCTTCCAGATCCTTCTCGATACCCCCGCAGCATCCGACGCCGCGCCGCCGAACGTGGGCGCCGCGCGTGCGTCTCCACGACCCGAGCCGCGGGCTGCCAGCCTCCCCGCCTGCCTGGGCGAGCGTCCTGAACGCAGAGCGAGGGGAGCGTTACCTGGGCGCGCAGGGCCGGGGAGGCGTCTGGGTTTACCTGGAGAGAGGCCAGCGTGCGCCCAGGGCCCGGCGAAACGCTGCAAGCTGCCCGTTTGCAAGAAATGGCCCGCGTATTAAAGGGGCCTTCCCCGACAATAATACAACTGAACACATAGAATGGGTTCAACTCGCGAGGAGAGCCACTGCATCTTACTGAAGGCCCATGAGAAGGAATATTTTCTTAATACTGGGTTCCCGGGTGCTCATGGACTTCCCGTGGCGACTAGGAAGCGCCATAGTTACCGAAACAATAGCCTTTTGACAAAAAGATCTGTGTATGGAGGGTCCTGCTCTTCCTTAGCACTTAAGCCCAGTTTAGTGTCTGGTGCGTGTTATCAAATAATTATTGGCTGCAGGAATTTGTATGCCAGTAGAAATAAGGTTTTTGTTTGTTTTGGAGCCCTTGCTCAGTGCTTGCCACTGTACTATGAAGACTGTCCTATATAGGTAGAAAACTAGAAGGGCTGTTTTCGGATGAAATTTCAGTATTATAACCAGGGAATTCATTGTAGTCTTTTCTGTTGGAATTGGCTGGGAAGGGATGCAGGAGAAATAAAATCATTTCTTCCAGCAATTTACAGCAAATGTATTTAGCCTCGACTAAGACGTTGTTCATTTGGTGACTGGCCTTCAGCGGACTTGGGGGGGTTGACTTGATAGAGATTCAATCTGCTGCTTTTTTACCACTGTTCTCAGGAGGGTTAGAAGGAACGGTGGCCCTCCAAAGTTGCAGGAGCCGGGCGGAGGGTAGGGTGCTGGGTTGCCGCCTTGGCAGTTATCTTCTTGTTGGCTCCTGCACCTGTGTGCGGTCACTCTCGTGTGTGTACTGGTTTCTTTTGAAGCTAGGGCCACTGGGTATTATCTTGCTGAACAAATTAGTATAGAAAAGTTCCGGTCCAGTAATACTTTTCTAAAAGCATCTATTTCTTTACTGGCAGCAAACAGTTGTAGATATCTTCTAGTCTGTCAGCACGTTTTACTTGAGCACGGAAGATATGACCGCCTTTGCATACATACTTACAGTAGAAAGAGCACGTGCTCTTTCTAGAGAGTAAGCAAGGAGCTGGGTCCCCAACATACTAACCGACTTGGGGCAGGTTAACAGGGCTAGGAATACCTGTCACCGAGGGTAGTTGTGATGGTTACAAAGAGGGAATGTGTGCCGGGTATCTAGCCCAGTGCCCACCTTCACACGGTTGGTTAGTAAATCATGCTCATGATTCTGATGGGATGAGTGCTCTAGTGAGACGGGGATAGATACAGAGGTCTGTAAGAGAGGGGAAAACCTCGTGGACGGGGAAGGGTCAGAGGGAAAGGTTTCCAGGGAGGAAGTGCTCTGCTCTTTCAGTCAATGAGTGGTTGGGGGCCGGGAGGTGGAAGGGATGAGGAGAGACAGTTCTAGGGTTTTGGGATCCCCCCCAAATTTTTTTTCTGTTTCTAGAATTATTTTCCATTTTATTTGCATTATAGTCTTCGGATTGTAAAACTTACACATACTCAATGTAGAAAGAGCACAGATCAGTTTGTTTCTTTTTCAGTCTGTTTTCCTTTCTTTTCCTGCTAGGGATGGAACCCATACCCTTGTCAGTGAAAGGGCAGAGTCCTAACTACTTGATCACCAAGAAATTCCCAAGATTTTCTTTCCCTCTCCCTCATCTGTTTCCCAGCCACCCCCCACTTTTTTTTTTTTAAACCCTCAGCCCTTTTAAGTCAGTATTTCCCTTAAAGGTGTTTAACAACATGATTATTTTCAGTAGTACCAGTCAGTCATTCAAAATCCTTCTGAAACTCCCCCCTTTTGCTAGAGGAAGAGAGCACACTTTTTCTTTTCCCCACTCCCCACCTTACTCTTTAGGTGCTCTGGTTAGTTTTGTTATTATTGTTGTTATCTGGCTCATTGTTGTCAGAATGAGCCCTCTGGGAATTCACATGATGCACCTCCCAAATGCCAGGCCCATCCCTCAGACATAAAGATCCCTTGTTTTTAAATGTTTAGTTTTTATTTAGTTATTATTATTTTGGCCATGTTGCTTGGAGTGTGGGATCTTAGTTCCTCCTGACCAGGGGTTGAACCTGTGGCAGTGGAAGCAAGGAGTCCTAACTACTGGACCAGCAGGAAATTCCCTAAATCCTTTGTTTTTAAAGTTTCTTTAAAAAGGAAATCTTTTGACTGCTAATGCTCTTAAACATTAAAAAAAAAATAGTACTTGAATCGTTCAAGAAAATGTGAGATGAGCATATGTGTATACATATACATGTTATGTAACATACCAACATAGTGAACCTTGGGAATATACCACAGTCCCAACCTAAGAATTAGAACATCACCGATACGACTGGTGTAAAAAAAAACTGTAGTACCAAAAATATTAAGGATGTTCATAATTTCTTGCTACTTCTGGTGTCTGTTGACTGAGAAAACACAAATTATACTACTAACCAAAACAGCTACTGAAATTTCATAAAATATTTACTTATTTTAGAGATTACAGCTCCATTTTCATGCATTTGAATAATAGCAGACTGCTATGCGGGCTTCCCCAGTGGCTTATGGGTGAGAATCCCCCTGTGATGTAGGAGATGTGAGAGAGATGGCTTGGATCTCTGGGTTGGGAAGATCCGCTGAAGGAGGAAATGGCAACCCACTCCAGTATTCTTCCTGGGAGAATCCCGTGGACAAAGGAGCCTGGCGGGCTACAGTTCGTGGGGTCACAAAGAGTCAGACACGACTGAGCACTGCATACACTTGTGGGGTCTGCACACAGTGGACGCTTGAAGCTTCATCACTGAACACACCCCAGGTCACCAGGCAAGTTTTCCTCATCTCTGAGATAGATGGGAATCATAATACTGTCTATGTCACAGGGGTTTTCTTTGAGCATTAAATAATAAATTACCACGTGTGACATACTTAATGCAGTGCATAGCACATAGCAAACAGATGAGTGGTAATGAGTGTGTGTGTGCCATGTTTCACTTGTTCAGCCTGTTGAATGCTGGCATATAGATCTGAAACCCCGAAGTCTCTGGTCTTCCGATTGAGAGCCATTGACTGGTCTAGACAGGTTTGATCCATGGTTTCCAGAATAGTGCTTCTTCCTGATGCTATTATAAATAACATCTGTACTTTTTTCTCTTTTGCAATCAGTGATGAACATGACTATCTAATACACTAGCTTTGATACTTTGTCATTCCAACAAGTCTGGGCACCCCGTGAAGTAAAGACTTGATCTTAATATTTCCTTGGGCTTCTGATCTCCTCTGGGGAAAGCAGATGGGTTATTTGGTGCCTGTCCTACTAGAAGAAAGGAGTATTTTCCTTCTTTTAAAAGATAAAATCTAATTTCGTGCTTAAGATAAATACATTTTGTTTTGTTTTGCTCCTTGGGGCAATAAAAAGTAGCCTGTCTTCATTCTTCCTCCTTTGTGGATGAACTGAAATTTGGCTTTGGCCTCATTCATGGGAGTGTCCAGTAACCAAATGCCTCATTTCCACCCTCCCCAAACCTGTGATCAAGGATCACGTGTGGGCCCAGGGCATCCGATCTAATGAGCACAACTGGAACTAGGATTCCCTTTTGGAAGAAGCCCAGCCCTGCACTGGCCTCGGTGGAGAGTGAATGTATTTACCATCATAAATGTGCTCTGCAGTGACCACAGGAGCAAGCCAGCAGCTCTTACTACTGAGAAATTAAGAAATTATTGTTCCTTTGTTATCACATCAAACTTCTGTAACTGGTCTGCTAATATTTTTAAACGTTTAAATTGTAATAATAATAACAACAAAAAAAAAACTTGTATGAAAGCTCAGATTTACTCTTGTATCCCAGAAGTCCATCTGTATCGGTCACAGTCAGCTCTAGTCAAATATTGACTTTACTATTTATCCTTTCAGCATGGAGCCAAAACGTGTACTCAGAAGCACCTCGGAGTTCATCTCTTCCCACAGGCCCTGCAGGTGTGTTGTTCAGCAGCTTTCCTCCCCAAGCCAGCCTCCTCCAGGGGCACTATTCTTGGGCATGTCCTTGGGTTGACACCCTCAGCTTTTTTCCTCCTGGGTTTCTGGGCGCCCCTAGCTGGGGGTGGGGTGGGGTGGGGGTGGGGTGGGAGTTCTCAGGGATCCCAGGTAGAGGGCGGAGGGGGAAGGGGTGTCTTTCTGCATGGGGCTCTGGGTTCCTCAGGGGCTTCACTGATAAGTGGTGAAGTCCCAACTATTCTGTTTCAATTTGCACCCACTTAAGGCTCGACGTCTGTATTACCTATCTGTGGCCAGTTGGTGCAAAGCTATTTATAGAGTGGGTCCAGAGGCCTCCAGGCACAGGGTGAGCGGCCGGGCCCATAGGCTTGGAGCCACAGGCGACCTTAGGGCCCTGGAGCTGAGAGCTGGCGACAGTGCACTGGGCACTGAACTCAGGGCATCGTTGCACTTTCACTCGGTGACAGCCCTTCCAGTTGTCCCCCGATTTGTTCCGAGGGCAGGTGCTGAACTGAATGTGCAGGCCGCCTGGGATCACTGGGCTCAGACCCAGACCGTTCGGGTAGCCGCCCTGGATTTCCCATTGCAGGGACACGGCCGACCGAGGGACCCAGGGACAGAGGGAGGGAGCTTGGTCTCATCAGCTCCAGCGGAGCCTGCGCCGGCGCGTCTCAGAGGGGTCGGGATGGGTCCCCTCCTTGGGTGCGCTCCGGCCTCCGTGCCCTCTGGTGGCCGTGGCTGCCTAGCACGTGACGGGGCTTAGTACGACTGAGGAAGGGACAATTTCCGAAGGGCAGTGGCCCCCCCAAGGCCCCGCCCCAGCGAGGTGGCTAGCGAGACCCGCTCCCGCTAGGCGGGTGCTCAGAGGACTCCAGTGACCCGGTCACCCGCCCTGAAGTAGGACCCCTTCCCGACCCACGGGGAGAGTGCGGCGCCAGGTTTTCAGCACCCAGGCCTGCTTTTCCACACTAGTCTTTGTACTTCTGTTTTTGATTGTACCTGTGTCATTGTGATAATATCAGGGTCAGCTCTTTTCTACACTGCTCTTGGCTTTCACCGCTCCCCTTCTATCCCTCCCCGCTTCTGCCCTCCTCCACCCCGTGTGGGCATGTGACCTGATGCTTTAACTGCGATTTTGGTAAGACCCAGGTTTATGCAACATAGCATATTTATTGAGCACCTGTGAGGGCGCTTATCAGCAATAGGGCCTGCAGGCGCTTTGTGTGCAGGCGCGTTGTCTGTGATGCTGTCAAGGCCCTCGAGGCACAGATATCAGGAGGGAGCGCAAAGGAAGGACTGACCCTCGTGGCTCTGCTTCCAGAGTGCAGGGCGGCCCGGCCTGTGCAGGGTCACAGTGCTCTGGGAAGCCGTCACAAACACCCAGGGCTTGAGAAAGAGCTTGGAAAAATGGGCAGTAATATATTTGTTAACATTTTAAAGTTATAGAACATCATGAATGAAATAATGCCAGTTACAATAACATGTATAGACCTAGCGATTATCATACTAAGTGAAGTAAATCAGACAGAGAAAGACGGATATGGTATCATATCACTTATATGTAGAATATAAGAAAATGATACAGATGAATTTATCTACAAAATAAAAATAAACCCACAGACGTAGAAAACAAACTTAATGGTTACTAAAGGGGAAGGAGGGGAGAATAAGAGTTTGGGATTAACATGATACACTACTGTATATAAAATAGATAACCAAAAAGAACCTACTGTATAGCACAGGAACGATAATCAATATCTCATTATAAAGGAAAACTATCTGAAAAAGAATATATATACATGTGTATATATATATATATATACATGTCTAATTGAATCACTTTGTTGTACACCTGAAGCTAACACAACATGGTAAATCAATTATACTTTAGTAAAAAAAAATTGAAAGATATAACATTAATAAATTAATATATAGCTGGATAAAATTTTACATATGTGTGTACCCACCTGACAACCAGATCAAGGTACCCCAACATCTGGGCACCCCAACAGACATTTGCATAGCCTCTCCCAACAGTAACTATCTCTAAGAGTAACTGCTATTCTGACCTCTCCCGATATATTAGTTTTGTCTGTTTTTGAACATCACTCAGAAGGAATCAAACAGTATGTACTTTTTTGACCAGTTCCTTTCATTGCACATGATGTCTGTGAAATTCATCCACGGTCGTGCGTGTAGAAGTAGTCAGTTACCTTTGCCTGCTGTGTGATACTCTACTGTATTGAATCTACCACCGTTTCCTTATTGATGCTACTGGTGTTGTTTCCAGGTTTGGGGTATTATGAATAAAGCTTCTATGCACATTCTTGTACATGACTTTTGATGGACATAAATGCTCATTTCAGTTTGGTATATAACCAAGAGATGGAACTGCTGGGTCATGGGGTTTCTCTTATATTTAACTTGAGCAGATACTGCCAATTTCCCAGAATCAGGGTATCAAGTTACACTTCCACCAAGAGGGTATGAGAGTTCTAGTTGCTGGACACTCTCACCAAAACATGGTATTGTCACTACTTTCTTTGTTGGCTGCGCTGTGGCATGTGGGATCTTGGTTCCCCTGGGGTCAAACCCAGGCCCCCTGAAGTGGAAGCGCAGAGTCCTAACCACTGGACCGCTGGGGAGGTCCTGTCAGTGCTTTTAATTTTAGTCCATCTGGGGGATGTAGTGTGGTGTAATTTGTATTCCTTGATGGTTAATGAAGTGGAAGGCATTTTCATATACTTATTGGCCGTCTGGATGTAGCCTCATTTGTGAAGTACCTTTCAGATTTTTGGGCATATTTAAAAAATTATGTTGTCTGTTTTTTTGTTATCAATTTGTGGGATTTCTTTATATATTATAGGCAAGATACATTGCAATAATCTTCTCGTCTGTGGCATGCCTTTTCACTCACATAATGGTATTTATTTTATGTCTTTTTAAATTGAAGTATAGTTGATTTACAATGTTAAATACTGCTATAGAACAGAGTGACTCAGTTATATACATATATGTGTTCTTTTTCATATTCTTTTTGTTCACATAATGGTATTTTGATGAGCATTTTAATTTTAATGGAATTCAATTTATTAACGTATTTTTTTTACAGTTAGTGATTTTCCTTAGTAGATTTTATTTTTTTGGAGCAGTCAGGTTCAAAGCAAAACTGAGCAGAAAGCAAGGAGGTTTCTCATACACTCCTGGCCCTCATACATACACAGACCTCCTCCCCATTATCAACATCCTCTCATCAGAGTGGTACAATCAGAGGGGTATCATGCTTTGAATTTCAAATTCCTATAGTTATTGTCAGTATAGAGAAAAGCAACTGACTTTTGTCTATAAACCTGTATCTTGCAACCTTGCTATAATCCCTAATTAGTTCCACTAATTTTTCAAAATTTTTAAAATTTTCTACATAGATGACCATGTCATCTGTGAATATAGAGTTCCATTTCTTCCTTATCAATCCTGGGCTAGTGATTTTTCATGTGTGTCTTGTTTAAAAAAATCTTTGTTTATTCCTTGGTCATGAAGATTTGTCTCTATTTCGTTTTTGCTTTTTTAGAATGGAAGCTTTTTTTGCTTTATCATTCACATTTAGGTCTATGATCCATATCTGATTAAATTTTACAAATGGAGTGAGGCAGAAATGAGGTTTATTTTTTCCCTATGAATGTACAATTAACCCCACACCGTTTATTGAAAGACTATCGATTCCCCTCTGAACTGTGGTGGTTCTTTGGTCATCTATTGCTGGTGACCATATATTTATGTCTGTTGTGGACTCTTATTCCATCAGTCTGTTAATAATTCTTGTGCCAATGCCTTAGCATCTTGGTTGCTATAGCTTTAAAATGAGTTTTGACATCCAGTTTTACCCTTCCGTGTCAAGATTGCTTTTACTCTTCTAGGTTCTTTGATTTTACATATACATTTTAGAACCACCTTGTCAATGTCTTTCAAAAAATCTAAGATTCTGATTAGGACTCCATTGAATTTACACATCAAATTAGGGAGATTTGACATCTCAAATTATGGAGCCTTTCAGTCCATGAAAGAAAGTGAAAATGTTAGTCTCTCAGTAGTGTCTGAATCTTTGTGACTCCATGGACTGTGGCCCACCAGGCTCATCTGTCCATGGGGTTCTCCAGGCAAGGATACTGGAGTGGGTAGCCATTCTCTTCTCCAGGGGATCTTGCCAACCCAGGGATCAAAAGATCCAAGTCTTTTGCATTGCGGGCGGATTCTTTACCAGCTGAGCCACCAGGGACACTCCTTTCTGCCTATAAACATGATCTATTCTTCCATTTTATTGGGATTCTTTCATTTTTTTCAGCAATGCTTTAAATTTTATATTTTTCAGTGTAGAGGTCTTATGCACTTTTATTATATTTATTCCTAGGTAGTTTTTGGTTTGGGTGCTGTTATAAATGCTCTTTCCAAAAGTTTATTTTCTGTGTGTTTATTGACAGTATATAGAATGCACTTACTTTCTTTTTATTTAATTGTGATAAAATATACGTAACCTATAATTGACATTTTAACCATTTTTTGGTGTATAGCTCAGGGAGATTAAGTTCATTCAAGTTGTTATACAAACATTCAGTTGATTTCTTTTTGGTAACAGCCTTACTGAGATAGAATTCAGACACCACATAACTCATCCATTTAAAGTGTACAATTCAGAGAGTTCCCTGCAGGTCCAGTAGTAAGGACTCTGTACGTTTGCTATGGAGGATCTGGGTTTGATCCCTGGTCGGGAGAAGGAAATGGCAGCCCACTCCAGTATTCTTGCCTGGAAAATCCAATGGACTGAGGAGCCTGGTAGGCTACAGTCCATGGGGTTGCAAAGAGTCGGACGTGACTGAGCAACTTCACTCACTCAGGAAATTAAAATCCTGTAAGCTACACTTCATGGAAAAAATGTGTACAATTCAGGGTCTTTTAATATATTCACAGAGTTGTGCAGTCGCCAC